TCCATCAAGTCCCCTCTCTCAGAGCGAGCAATGGTGCATCTTTTGCTCGATACAAGTTGCTGACGAGTCTTTCTTGAATACTGATGCTGCTTGCTTCTACATATGTCCAGCTTCTTGAATGACTTTCTCGACACACAGAACAGAGAAAGGATGCAGCCCTGACACCCCTTTGCGGCTCTGAGACCCTGCAACATTCCCTTGCTCTATCTGCTCAGCTCCTTGGTCTGTGGGTGGGCTTCTCATGGGCACAGTGACGCGTTCCTCTCAGTGTTAGCCCTGACTTGTTATGACTCACAGGGTGAGCTGCTAAGCACTTCTAGCTAAAAGGTTGGTGGTTTGAACCCACCCAGAGACACCTTGAAAGCCAGTTGTGAAGGCCTGCTTCTGACAGCTGCAGCCTGAAGCCCTGCAGCCAGCAATCCCTGCACCCACGTGAGGCCAAAGCTGACACCATCGCAACCAACACAGGTGGGAAACCCAGGGGCTTTCTTGCCCTGGTTCCTAGAAGCCTCTGCAGTGGCAGTTCTCCGAAAGGACGGCCCCGCGGGGGTGGGGGTGCGGCAGTGCAGGGTGGAGCTGTGCACACGGAGGTCTGATGTGCACCCTTCCTGACAGGCACCTGGCCTGGATTCCAGCCAGCACATCACAGCCATCACCGCGCATCTACCTGGGTGATGTCGGCGGGGTTGAGCAGACAAGGAAGAAAGGCCAGCTCACGCTTCCAAAACGACCCCACAATGACCTCTGACTGCACTGGCCATGGGCATAGGGCCAGGCTGGGCAGATCTTTGTTCCTTGGGCACAGAGCTGCCCCACATGAGGGTCAACCTGATGAGTGCCGGTGACAGCAGCCGTGGCCGTCAGAGCTCCACGTCACCGTGACTCGGCGTAACTCCACCAGCAAACCACACAAAGCTCTGTTTTCATGCACAGAACTCAGGGCCCACTGCCCTGGTTTGGGGCTGTCGAGCTGCGTGGAGACCACCTCGAAACACAAGCTGGAACACAAGTGTGCCCCTGGTGACGCAGCGAGCAGAGGGAAGGGGATGCCTACCTCGCACTGCCTTCAGATTCAAAGACACTGAAATATGAAAAGCCCAGGAGGGAGAACACTAGGAATTTTCCACAGACACACTTCCGGGAGGCAAGATCCCTACTCGGATTTTTCTTAGCAACAGCAGACTGACAGCCAAGGCTTCTTACGCAGCCTTGGAAACAGGAAATCATGCTTCCTGTCAGCTTTGCTGTCGCAGGCACAGCCCCTCCACTTCCTGGCAATGCTCATTCAGCTCGAGGGACCCCTCATTCATCTCCGCCCTCCCTGGCAGCTTACCAGGTCCAGGTTCTGCCAGGCACCTGCTTTCTCGCACAGTGACATCCCTCCTCCCTCCAAAACCATTACACCAGCCAGTTGCCATTGGTCAATCACAACTCCTGGTAACCCTGGACAGCATGACCGTCACGTGGGGCTGCCAAGGCTGTGAATGCCCTTTTCCACAGAGGAGCTCATGTGCTCGCACACAGCAGCCAAGCACTTGACCACTGTGCCACCAGGTGTCCTGCAACATTCCTGCCACCAATGGACCTACCATCCCCCCGAGACACAGATTAAAGCACAGACATCCGGATCTTAGGCACTTGGAGCTCCAGAGCTGGGCTTCTTGGAAGCTGTGCATTTTACAGGTTTTATCCACAAAGTACAGACAGGAAGAGCAAGGTCAAGGGCTGTCAGAGGATTTGTCTGAACTTCCATGGGAACGAGGTGGCACTGACGGTATGAAGGTTGGGCATTTGGCCCCTGCATGAGAAGGTGGTAGGCTGAGCCTGCCCAGAGGATCCGGGCTACCTCTTTAAGTACAACTGTCTCCGTCAGCATTCTGCTCTCTTCCCACCTACACCGATCAACACCTATCTCCCTCGTCTATCCATAACAACAGTAGTAAGAACACTCCCTTCAAACCCTCTGCACACATGGGCTGCCACGCCCAGAACACACTTTTGTTGTTGTGTGCCACTGACTCAGAACCAACTCCTAGCTGACCCTCCAGGCGGGTTTTCGGAGGCAGTTAACTGCACAGGACAAGGCTGCCCAGCTTTCCCCTGTGGATTCGAACCACACGCCTTCGGGTTGCCAGCACAGCTCCTTACCACTAAGCCACCAGGCTTTGGACGACAATCAACAATGCCTGGGGGCTAGGAGGTGGCGGAGCGCCTCACGGACAGCCACTACCCATCTGGCAGTGGAAGCAGCGTGTTGCTAGGAGGCTGGACTAGACTCAGCAGAGCTTTCAGAGTGAGACAAGACTCAGCCCTGCTTCGGAAAGGCAGACCATGATCAAGGTCATGATCACGCTGTTCTAGTCTGCAGATGGCCGTCGGTGGTCCACGGCTGGGCAGCATGTCAGCCCTGGTCCAAAGGGCTTCCATGGCCTGAGGGCGAGTGATAGTAACTGACACCAATAACCAGGGGCATTTGTTCTCAATCCCGAGTCTTGGGAAGGGACAACCTCCCAGCAGGCACTAGCCTGGTCCTGGCACTGTCAGCCACATTGCCAATGCCCACGGAAGGAGCGATGGGGGTGAGAAGTGAAGAGAAGGAGCAATCCTGTGTGGTGGCGAGGATGCTGTGTGCGTGCACATCCGCCGGCTAGATTCCCAGCTGTGAGATGGAGTGACCTCGAGTTCCCTCTGTCCTCCAGAGATGGTAACATGGGTGTCCCCGCTGCTATGAGAGGACGCCCTGCCCTGTGACTGCAGACCAGGCCCAGCAGGGGCCTTCCAGCAGGAAGTGCGAGATGTCTGACCCACATGACTGACTGGGTTGGCTTTTAGAAGCATTTCAGAGATTCCACGAAGTAGGAAAAGTGCCCATTTCCACAGAACGCTCCAGGATGCAGGCACAGATGGCCATGGGTCTGCCACCAGCTCCCCTGCCCTCTTCTCACACCAGCCAAACCCATTTCTTTAGGCAGCTGTGCCCGCAGGGCACTGTCAGGTAGGCTGTTCATTTTGCCTCTCCTCCCAGGAGGGGCTGCTTTCAGGGCACCTGCACCTCAGGGCCATGAGCAATTAAGTGCTCGGCTGCTGAGTGAAAGATGGGAGGGTCACGACAGAGAGCCACCTCCAGAAAAAGGCCTGGTGATGCAGGTAAGACATCAGCCACAGAACAGGCCCCAGAAGCACTGGCCACAAACGGCCTCAGGGAAACACCAGCCACGAACAGCCTCAGGAGGCACCAGCCATGAAACAGCCCCTGGGAAACACCAGCCATGAGTGGCCATCCCGTGAGGCACTGGTCATGGAACAGCCCGGGGAAGCACCAGCCACAAAACAGCCCCCAGGAAGTACCAGCCACGGAACAGGCCTGGGAAGTACTGGCCATGAGCAGCCCCCCGTGAGGCACTGGCCTTGGGAGGCACTAGCCACAGAACAGGCCTGGGGCACTGGCCATGAGCAGCCCCCCGTGAGGCACTGGCCATGGAACAGCCGCGGGAAGCATTAGCCATAGCAAAGTCCCCGTGAGGCGCTGGCCACGGGACAGCCCTGCGAGGCTCCACTCCACTCTTGCTCACATGGACATGCCAGGAGCTGGCGTCACCACGCCGCCTGACCTCTCAGTGGGTGCTGGCTTCAAGAGTAAGGCTCGAGGGGCATCTCATCTCCGTGTCTGCCCACAGTGACTGTCTAAGGGCTCAAAACATGGGCACAGTGCCTCCTCCACTGTGGGCACAGTAACTCCCAGCCCTGCTCTGTTGCTCAGAGGCTAGATACTGGCCTGCCATGGCCAGTGCTCTGTTAGGAGTGTCCTCCAGGAGTCCCTGCAGCCTGACGACACCCCCGATGGGCACTGGTCTGCTGGCCGAGTGAACGTCTTCTGAGTTGTCGCTGTGGCGTGGATGAGTGGTTCCTCGGGGATCTATCATGCAGAGTGAGGAGAGCTTTGAAGTCAAGTTAGGGCTTCATCGTCCTGTAGAAGCTCGCCATTGTCATGGTCACAGCCGACTCTGGGTCATGGTCACCCGTGTGTCAGAGCAGGGCTCTGCAGGGTCTCATGGAGTGGACCTCCATGGCCTGGTGACACAGGGAGGGCCCTTCAGGCCTGAAGAGGCTGAGTGTGCAGTGCAGCTGTGAAGAAATCTCACCATGTGGCCTGGCCTGGCTTCACCGAGCACCCTCCACCCCAGAGCCCTCCACATCCGCAGTGAACTCTCTGTCCAGAGAGCATTTACACGCCTGCACGCAGACACAGGTGCACTGGGGGACCCGCTCCTGGGCTGCGCATTCCTGCCTGTGGTCACGGTGGGCGGACAGCTAGTGTGCTGCCACTTATCACTGTACCCTCTCCTCTGCCCAGGTGCCCCAGATCACAGATGCCCACGTTCCCACTTCCGCCTCCCGGTGCTGACACACAGCTGCACCCCTCCACAGCACTCAGCAGCCACAGCCCAGCCGGCCGTGGGACCCCCACTGCCCACACGGGCGGCCCCCACCAAGTGCAGCCTGGGAAGACAGCCCAGAACCCAGGAGCCCTCCTTATCCTGGAGACGCAACAGGCCACATTCCCCAAGGCAGGGAGATAGCATCTTCCAGAAAGGCGAGACAGAGACCCAACAAAACCACGCCGAGCTGCACGGGGTAAAAGGCCTTAAAAACGTATCTTAGAAACCTACTTTTCTTTGAGAGAAAAGGTGCTCACCATCAGATAAGAGGCAGAGGAAGAAAATGAGGCCCGTCCCTGTCAGGTGGGATGACCCTGTGCCGCCCTCTCTGTGACTCAGTGCTCCCACCTGTAAAGCGGGGATGATGCCTCTGTGCTCACTGCTGTCAAGGTCAATGAGGAACTCCCGAAGCTCTCAGGCCACAGCACGTCCAAGGGGAGGGCTTAGCACGTCTGATGGGGCTTCTGCTGGGGACCTCCCACGGGACACCAAGTCCCACACCCAGCCTCTCCTCACCTGCTCCCCTCCAGGCCAGGCCTGCCCTGGCAGCTCCCTCCTCACCTTGATCATCTCGGCCACGTAGCTCTCAGGCCCCGTGTACTCGGTGGAGTCCTTCACCTTCACCAGGACGATGAAGCACAGGTAATGCCACATGTTGTGTTCCTCCTTGATGTGCTCTTCGAAGGTGACTGTCTTGTTGTCAAACTTGTCTCTCTCTAAGCCTAGAAGACACAGAGCCCCCGGTCCCAGCTAAGCAGCCATGGTCCAGAAAAGTCTGCGAAAGGACAGCTGGGACAGAGGTGGCGTGACTTCCTGGCTGAGGGCAGGATTCTGCCGGCCTTCAGATGATTCCCTTTCAGACCACACAGGTCTGCGTCTCCCCACTCACCCCACCAGGAACTTGTCCCCCTCCCTGTGCCTGGAGTGCCCTGCTGGCAGATTGTGATGGGGTGCTGAGGGGTGAAGGGGGACACATTCAATCTCTCCATGTGCCTTGCCGGCAGACCCCCCTCTATGTGATGGGGTGCTGAGGGGTGAAGGGGGGATACATTCAATCCATGTGCCCTGCTGGTGGAAAGGAAGCCCCTCTCTGTATGACGGGGTACTGAAATGATGCTGCAACAAAAAATTTACAGGGGAAAATGAATGCATTGAAATGTTAAACGTGGTTACATGGAAAATGCCCGTGCTTTGGAGCACACACGAGAGGAGGAGATTCATACACTGAGCACCTGGGTAACGAATAACCCTCAATGATGACTCTGCTCTGATTCCTCCAGGATTACTTTACACCTTGATGACTTTGAGCGTGGTGCTGGAGAAGTACTGAGCATCTCATGAACTGTCAAAACCAAACAAGTCTATGCTGGAGGAAGTGTGGAAAGGTGCTCCTTAGGGGACAGATGGTGTAACTTGTTTTGTCAGGAGGGCCCAGTCCTTGGGAGAAGACATTGCCCTGGGCAAGGTGGAGGGTCAGAGAAGACCCAGCGAGACGGACTGACACCGTGACTGCAGCCAACAGGCTTGGGCCGGACAGAGAGCACGCGGCTGGTGCAGGACAGGGCAAGGCTCAGATCGGCCGTTCCAGGGTCACTGTGAGGCCGCCTGAGAACTGCAGCTCCTGATACAGTGGCAGCCTTTGCAGCTCTTTGATGAGCAGTCCACCACGTTTAGAGTCTGTGTCGGCTTCTACATTCTCAGAGTGATACAACCCATCTCTCTGTTACCAAAGAAGTACCGTCCAGTATTGTAGCCACTTTACAGATGAGGAGCGACTCATAGGCACCGAGTCAACCAAGTTTACACGGCTAGTAAGCGATCCCATGATCTCAGCTCTCACTCTGGGCCCTGCTGCCATGGCCTGTGCAGAGGCCCTTTTTCACACAGAGCTCGCTTCTGTCTGCAGTGAGAGATCCTGCAGGTTGGAGGTGAGTGAAAGCGCCTTGAATGGGACACGTTTCTGCAGACTCCCCGTGGCTGTTCCCTCAATGGCACCAAGTTAGATCAGGCAGTCCAGTAACAAAACCCTGAAATGGATTCACTGTCTGCTCCCAGAGCTCTGGTCTAAAAGCCCTGGAGACCGCTGCCCACAATTCGCAGAGCCCCACACGCTTCCTGCCATGACAAAGGCCACAGAGGAAGCCGAGGCCCTCACCATGGCAGGCAGGTGGCCCGAGGACACCTCCTGTGACTGCTCACCGTGTCCCACACCCCCAGCCCTCGCACCTGCCCCCTGAGGTCACAGCTCTCCTCTGGATAACACTCACCACAGATGAAGCAGGTTGTCTTCAAGATTTCTTCTTTCTTCTGCTTTTCGCTCCTCAGGTCGGCAAAGGTGTCGATGATGACCCCGAAAATCAGATTCAGGACGATGATGATGACCATGAAGAAGAAGAGCAGGTCATAGATGACTCTGGCCGCAAAGAGGGGCTCCTGGAGCGAGCAGGGGTGGGTCATTCCAGTCCCCACACGGCAGGCCTGGCCACGGTGGCCTCCTGCTCACCACCAAGTCCTGTTGGCTTCCGTGGAAGCTAAGTGGAACGTCGCCTGTCACTGGAGCCCCAGCAACCCTGCTCTTTGCAGCAGTTTCTAAACGGCACGTTGGCCCAGCGCTGTGGAGCCCAGCTACCCTGGCGCTGACCCTGACCACTCAGGCTCCCATGGCCGTGTTCGTCCTAAAGGACTACTAGGCCTCTCCTCCCAGGCACTCTGGGGCAAGGTCTCCTTTCGGCTAGTGGCTGAGAGCAGTACCTGCCTGCAGGGCCCACAGCCTCCTCTTGAGACCTATGGTGCCTGGAGAAGGTGTAGAGGGCACATTCTACACCGAGCAGACAAGGAAAGTCAGGCCTCCCATCCATGCTGTCCCTGTTCTGCTTCAGCCTAACACTGGAGGAGAGGGCCTCAGGGGTCCAGGGCTGCACTCAGTGCCTGCTGCTTCCTCCCCTACCGTGCACCCCACCCTGGGGTCCATGCACCTCCTTGGACGGCTTCCTGAGCACGTCCCCCATGCCGCCCCCGCTCTGCAGTCTGTTTCTCCCACTATCACAAAGCACTACACACCTCCTTGGATGGCTTCCTGAGCATGTCCCCCACACCACTCGGGTTCCGCAGCCTGTGTCCCCCACTATCACACCCCATCACCTCCTGGGGTCCACGCACCTCCTTGGACGGCTTCCTGAGCACGTCCCCCACGCCGCCCCCGCTCTGCA